CTTGAAGTAGCTCTGAATTTCCGCCATCAACCAGCCTTCTTCATTCGTCCTCATCCATCGTTTTTCTATCTGCTCTGGTCTGAGCTTCCAGGGGAGTCCTCCTGAGGCTGTGTGAAGGATCAATTATTCATGTATTGTTTTCTGGCCACAAGGGCGGAGGTGCCCGAGTCAACTCCCCCCTCAGCAGTGATGAATGTTTGCGATAAAAAACAACAACAACCCTCTTCTCACAGCAGCTTCAGTCCAGCTCCTGCTCATCTGCACCGACCACAGTGTGACATCTGCACAGAGTCACACAGGAAGTGACAGTTTTACTCAGCTGCACCATGTTTCTGCATGGCTTCAGGCCCATCCAGGCTGAGGATATAACAGCAGCCTGAGAGGAGGGTGTGATGATTGGTTGTTAGGCTCACTGGGTCATAGCTCCTCCCCGGCTGCAAAGTCCCCTTTGGGAGAATCTGCAGCCTAACATGAGTCACGTCATTGTTCTGCTGCTCGAGCGTTCAGCGTGCACCGTCACCCTGGTGGCACCGAGGCGGCTAGCAACACTGCGTGACGTCAGAGCTCTGCATCCATTTTGGCTTTGCTCGCTGCAAAATGGACTAAAGAGGAGTCAGACTGAGGGCAGCGGAGAGGTGCAGTTCAAAACCCTGCAGCACGGCAGAGAAAAACGGTTGTGCAAAATACAACCGTGTGGGTTTTTTCACTGCATTAGAAATTAAAACTAATGTGTAGTTCATTAGCATTCACCACAAGTGTCTCCACAAGTTAATGGTGTTGTGACCTGCAGTCATCTCAAAATGTCTCAAACTGAAGGTGTGTTTGTTAGAAAAGGACTGACCTGCTGAGAAAATGCAAAATCCCCAGTGGTGGAAGAAGTATTCAGATCCTTTAATCAAATAAAAGCTGTGAAAATACTCCACTACAAGTAAAAGTCCTGCATTCAAGACCTCTTAAATAAAAGTGTGTAAGTATTGTCAGCTAAATTTACTTAAAGTATCAAAAGTAAAAGTAATGATTGTGCAGTAAAATTGCATGCATTATGCATTATGTTGCATTTTAGTGCTGTCGATGTGCAAGGTTGTGCTGAAACGAATTATTTCTAAAAAGTCTACTTCCTATGAGACAGTCTATGAGTCTGTGATGATGCATTTTTTTCAGCTGATCCAAGAGGCTTTTTAAATTGTTAATTTAGCTTAAGAAGTAGGACAGAAATTTAAAAACACCACATTTGGGGATCCACGGTTTTAAGTGAACAGGAAGGGGCCGACTGTAATCTGAAAAGTAACCAAAGCTGTCAGACAAATGTAACGGAATAAATACAATATTTGACTCTGAGATGGAGTAAAGACGAGATATACCTTTAACATAAAATGGAAAAACTGGAAATGTAACACAAATATGTACTTAAGTACAGTACTTGAGTAAATGTAGCCTACTTAATTACATCCCACCACTGCAAAAAAGTAAAAAGCTGAATTCATTACGAAAATGTGACAAATGAATCGTGACAATAACAAGAAATCAGATTAACATGATCTGTGCAATAGTGAATTATCAACTGCAAGACAACAACACTACTTCCAAAGGATATGTAGGCCAAACTCTCTGCAGACATCACTTCCACTGCAGACACTCTCTCTAAGTGAACACTGGGTTTCTTTTATGGTTGTTTCAATTAAACTGTTGCCACTACAAGCTTTGCTCCTGCTTCCATGTGCATCAAATCTATTTGTGTTTCAGCCGGAGCTGCGGTGAGTCTCATCCCATTACTGCACCGAACACTTGTCGTTAATTAAAGTAGTGGAGTGGAGAAGAGCAGCTGCTCTATTTAACAGGTAGTCGGAGTTCTTAATAATCTCCTTGAAGGTTTCTTCAAAGATTTTGTGATTAGGTACAAACCACAGGGAAATAGAAACCGTTCACATATTAAAGAAAAATGACAACGTTTTTACGAAATATGCATTTGTGCTTTCTTGCATAGTGTTGTGTGTCAAGTATGGAGTGAAGTATGGCTGCAATTAGCTTAGCCTAGCATAAAGAAAGGCAGGGGAAACAGCTGACCTCTCTCTCTAAAGCTAAAAAATATATCTAACAGCTCACATGAAGCTCACTAATTAACATGTGGTCATTTGTTTAATCTGTGCACAAACAGGACTGTAAAACGTTGTGGTTTTAATGGGAGTTACATGCTGTTTCCAGTCCCTATGCTAAGCTAAGCTAACTGCCTCCAGCTCCATACTTAACGCACAGATACGAGAGTGGTGACAATCCAAAACTATTGTAATAAACAGATCTCTCCAATATAAAAATCAAGCAAAAAAGGCAGGGCCAATGAATATGAATGCATTTGTTTAAAAGCAGAAGACACCTCATCTTTTATATAAGAAACAAATGCACTGTCAGTTGTTAATGGAGAGTTATGCACTTGACACCAATTGCTGCTTCGACCCACCAATCTGGGGACGACAGAGAAGGCCATCGATTATCTCTCAGTCTCTCAGTAAATCTTTAGACGAGGGGAACATCTCAGCGGCAGCATCACGAGCCAAAAACAGATCGGTCTAGAAAAACCATGCAGCTCAAATGAACCCGTTTCCTCGAAGCACTGATCTAAACGTTGAAACAGCTGCTAATTGCTGATCTTGACAACACCCTGATGGGGTAGTTGAAGAGGATATCTGTGCTCTACTGCACAGTTTTTTTTCCTTTTTAGCTGTTATGCTAATATATATCTGGCTCCACTGCTCCCAGCTGCAGGGAGAGGCGAGTTGTAACTTGTGACGGGGCTAATCTCTGCGGACGGAGCGGAGCAAGGCCCAATCAGCAGGGGTAGCCTGGCAGAAAATGAGAACACCAAACAGAGCAGCTCCCTCAGCTCCTCCTGGTTCTAAGTGGAGCTCCAGTGTGCTAAGCTGCGTGAACGTCAGCCTCACCTGCGGCACTGATGTCAAGTCGCCCTGCTTTTGTTGTGCTGAGCGACGGCTCAGGGCAAAGAAACATCATCGAAACATCTTTTCAATCTTTAGCCACAGACTGTGGAACAACATGGGCATGTTTTCAGTGGCATCATTGATTATGATGAGTATCTGCCATTAACCAGCTCAGGATGACGGGATTAGACAGCTTGTTATATTCAACCAACAGTCCAAACGTCCATATGAGCATTTTGAAAGTGACAAACGATTGATAATTATCAAAATAGTTGCTGGTTGATTTTCTACAAATGGCTAAATCGACTTATCGTTGCAGCTCTAGAAGTGATGTGCTGGAGAATGGATTTGGGTTTATTATTTGCAGCAATCTAAATCGATTTACAGCACCACTGCGAAGTTGAAGCAGGCATCTTTACCCATGGCTACGGCCTCTTTTGCTGTATGTTAAGTAGCAGCTCAATAGGATTCATATTAAAAAAACTTTAATGATTTGCACTGTTAAGAAGGTCTGGGGTTCAAATCCCACGGCTGGCTTGGGCCTTTCTATGTGGGTGTGTTCTCCTCCTGCACAGGAACTAACACGTCCAAGGACTCCAGCTCAGGACGACACTGCACAGGTGCAGAAAATGGACTGAAGGATGGATTGCAGAACCAGCACTGAATCACCACAACACAAAAAAATGATATTTTCCTGGAGAATGTAAGAGTGCATCGGAAATCAACTCAAGATCCAGTCACAACCAAAAGCAAAAAGCCAAAACAAAACTGTCAAGAGGGTACGTTTGATCGCTGTGAAGCCTTTTAAAGAGGAGCTGCTAAACTGTATGTCATGGTTAAGATGTTGCTCTTGTTACAGCCTGATTCCAGATAATTAAGAGGCTGAAAGTGTGGCAGGTTTTGAATCATAAATCTGATTTTTTTTTTTAAGCAAAGAGGGCTGTCAGTATAGTGCTGCAGGTTTGCATCAGAAGCTGCTCCCCTCACTGCCACCCATCATGTGAGTCGATGCAGACATAGCTCAGAAACTGCCTCAGCTGTAATCATGGCTGCCACAGGAACAAGACATCAGACATGCCAAGTTGTAAAAACGCATCGCCTCTGAACCCGGAATAGACCATGAATCCATCCATCATGTTCCAACTCTTCCAAACAAGAGTCAAAGGGCAGATCACATTATCAAACAACGTCCCTCTCTGAGCATAGTCCTTTCAGCGCCACTGTCAGAAACCACCGCAAAGCAGAGGAAACATTGCTCATCACTCTTTTTCTCCATCACATTCTCCCCGCTGGGTTTCTACAAGGTCATTTTGGCGCACGACGCAGGAGAGGGCGCCCAGCTCCACCGGCGCGTTCCCTGAGATTGTACTAATTTAATGTAACAACAGAAAACCAGGACAACTTTTTTTAAATAATCTGACAGTGGGGATTGAGTAAGAACTAAAAAAAAAAAAAAAAGGTATGGCCGTGTACTGAAGAGAGGAGGAGGAGGAACAGGCGACAGAGAAGGGGCAAGGGCATCGGTGCCAAAAGCATCGCCAATTAGACGAAACTGGATCGATGACAGGAAGCCGGACCTAATGTGCTGTTTAATGACATTAAATCACAACACTTGTAACCTCCTGCCCTTCTCCTCCTTAAAGTCAACCCTGTGCGCTCGGATGGATGATAAAGATCGCTCTTAACGCACAAGACCTCCCAGCAAGAACAAGAACGAAGGGCGCGTTTCGCCAAAATCCGCAATCTGAAATCTTAAAATATTGCCCAATTGCAAAAATTCGGACGAATATCGTTTACTTTCTCATCCATGAATCGGTTGTACTCATTGCATCCCGTCGCGTACCAGTTTAGGGGTCATCGCGTAGCGCAGAGAAGGCCTTCAAACTCGTTTTTAGTGATATATTAATGTCGAATTGGAGCATAAACACATGCAAATCTCCCTGATCTCATGCTCCTGAATACACGGTCGATATACCGGCAGCAGTCGAGGAAATTAGGGCCATTGACGCTTTAAATTGAAGATTAAGATTAAATTGCACATTTAAGGAGGATTATGCATTTTCTTACCTTTTTTGGTGCTAATGTCGGCGCGTTTTAGGGGTGACCGGGATTCGCTTTTTTTCCGTGCAGGGAGTCACCCCGGAGTACATGAAGCAAAATCCTGTGTGCCCCTGTGATGTACACTGACGTAGTAGCAGAGAGCTGCACCCTCCGCCCCCTTCACTTACTACACAACATCCCTCTTGGATGGAGACACCGCCCCCTCCTCCTCTTCCTCCTCCTCCTCCACCCCCATCCCTCCTCCAGCAGACACCATTCCTCTCAGAAATATGAGGGGGGTTTGCTGGCTTGGCATGAAACCTGAAACGGTGGAGGCAAGTTATTTGTTTTGTCACCTCAGTGATTCAAACCACAGGTGAACGTTAATATTGCAAGGTCACACTATTTAAAGGTGATTCACACAACCAGGTGGAGGGAAATGCGCTCTGCACGCTCGCGCTCAGTGTATCTCGGTTAGACTGCCACTGGCTCCATATGCACCAAATGGTTGGTGCAATGAACCGTGCAAGACGAGCCTCTCCCTGCACGTGCTTGGGCTCGTGCCTATAATTGGCCATGTTAAAAAGAAAAAAAAAATTGCAAGGATGCCCCTGGTGGAAAACGACTGAAATCCTTTTAAATTTAGGTTTCGACACAAATACTGAATGTTAGTGTAATACTGAAACCACGAGTTAAAACCTATAAATGAGCCAATGCGTCAGAAATAAAGCTTGTAAATAAGCAGTGAGATTTACTATAGATTATACATTTAATTATATTTGTGAAAATTGATAATGTGACTTTGTGGTGTCGGATATCGTATTTGTATTTTTAGATTTTCAAATTAAATTAATTGTCTGTGCATTTCAAAAGAACAGGGGTTACGAATCAGTATCAGAATACATCTTATTGCCAAGTACCTTCTCACATACATGTTTTTGCTTTGGTGTATTGGTGCCTGAAATAAACAAAGTAAGATATAGTAAAAAAAAAATAAGGCGAACTCCGCGGAGCACTGCAGTCTGCCCTTGTCCTTGGCAGTGGCTGCAGAGTACCAGTATATCTTTAGCTGCTGAATGTTCCACTATGACGTTATCTTAGTCTGCAATTTGGAGCTGGAGAGGTCGCTATACGGTGAGTTTAGAGCTTTTTTAGGGGAGGTCTTTCCCCAAAATGTTCAAGTGCTGTAAACAAAATGAATTACTTTAAAGTGCTATAAATAATAACTGACAATGTTTTGAAAATTGTGAAAGAACAAAAAAACGTATTTACTGGGATATGAAGAGAACAAGCCATGAAAGCAAAGAAAGCTTTTTTTAAGAAATTATCTGAGAAATCCTCGGCAGGGTTGCTCACCCACCAGAGTCCTTAACGCAGTGGCCGGGGTTCGAATCTGAACCAACCCTTTGCTCCATGTCGTCCCCTCTCTCTCCACTTTCCAGTCTCTGTCTAATCTAATAAAGGCAAAAAGACAAAGAAAATATAACACTAAAACAAATAAGCTGTATCAACCACAAAAAAACAGTCGGGATCAGAGAACGATAGCAGCATGCAGAGGCTATCGATACGGCGGAGGTATTAAGGCCCGTCTAGCCCTACGGTGGCCCAGAGGGACACTTCACTTCTGGCTGCACAAGGATAACAAAGACGGAGGTTAACTGATACAGCCTTGAAAATAACTCCAAATGATACACTTCATTGAGTCATTTCATATTTAGAAATACATTTGTTATGAATCTACCCCAATTAACATTTTAACACTGTGTTGCCAGTAAATTACCACCAAAAATGCAATAAAAGGTCTACATGCTAGGACACTTTCTGCTTGCCGGTGCCCTTTTTATATTTTTTCGGCCCTGCCCCTCAAACAGCCCGAGTCCACCCCTGGGAGAATGTATAGAACTGAAACGTTTAGTCAATTAATCAGTTTCAGGATTTCAGCATGTGATCAATGAACCAATCATCATTTGACATTCTACACCGTAGGAAAGAGAACCTGTTGGTAATGCGACACAGCAGATGAACGCAGCTGCACGCGTCTCCCTGCGGCGGCTGAAGCCCTGACACACCACATTATCATCTCCACAAAACCAAAATAAACCTCCAGAGACCAACTGCAGCTCTACACTGCATGTGTGTGTGTCTGCAGCTGTTGACTCTTAATTGGTTGTTGATTGTGTCCTCTTTACCTGCCTTAACAAAACAGCAAGGTCACGCCTGGTTGACACACAATTCGCTCTCCAGACAGGATCAAATTTCATGGACACAATAACGCAGCCAGGGCCAGTCTAATGACTCCGCCAGCCCTTATCTGCAGCTCTAAACGTAATGTAATGAATCACAGCAGCGAACAGGCGCTTAAATGTGAAACTACACTGGTACATGTGTTGAGTAACTATGATGCAATACGACTCAATAATCTCCATGAGGCATTCAAATCCTGTACAACCTCTGACAAACAGTAATATTCTTATATCTACGGGAGCTTGTGGGATATACTGTGTTGGCTGGTGTTTATGATAACCAACAGTCACAGTGTAGAGTATTTTTATTGTTTCATGGTGTAAATATACTTCTTGTCATTTAGGGAGAACATGATGACTGATCAAATGTATGTAGTTTGTTTTTAGGGTAAATACCTGTCGCCATCTGGTGGTTACTTTAGGTAACGCTTACAGTACAAATGTCTATATATATTTATATATAGTTCCTTAATATAAATATTACTACACCAGGTCACTTTTTGCAGTATGTAAGCCAGCATGCTTTTCTTGCTATTCTGACCCACAATCCTTTGCACAGCACATATATGAGGAAGAGGGTCAAAGTTCAAGGTGCCATGTTGAGGAAGTATTAAATGTCCCAATTGAATACTGCATACTGCATGCAACAGTACATACTTTTGTAAGGGCAGCTGCAGTGTGCACTAAAAGTAAAAAGAAAGAAGTATGAGATTTGGAACGCAGCTACGGTTAGCGCCGTTAACTATGAGCCCCCGGTTCACCACCGGCATGTTGAGAGGCATTAACAGGCAAACTAAATACTCCCAATCTCTGCTCGTGCACTTGAAAATATATGACATTGAACAATAACACACAGTTAATGCTGCAATTAAAGGAATAGTGTTCTTTCTTTTTTCATGGTTTTTATATCAAAATGTTATATTGATACATTATAATATCCTATTAAAATAATATCCAGATCACCTACCAATCACCGATCCAGTGTTTTGATGGTGGTGAATATTTCACTTTTATTCGGTGCCACATCACCTCTTCATTTCTAAACCTGGTGAGTATTTGAGGTACTTTAAGGCCATTTAAGCCTCCGTCTCCACAATAGAGCTCATTAGTGAGGTCCGGTGTGTCATGTGTGTCTCTTTCTCTGATTGATTGAAAAGAAACACCTCAGCTGCGCCTCTCCGCGTCCGCTCTGTGCTGCTACTGCGGAGGAGGAGGAGGAGGAGGAAGAAGAGGAAGAAGAGGAAGAAGAAGAGGGAGAAACCAGCGACTCAAACACGTACCGGAACGAAAGAAGCGCTTTGTTTACCTCCATTCAAATGTCTGCGGATCGATGATGATGATGGCGCATCCTTTTCGCTCGCACATTTAAACACAGCGTGGGAGTGGGGGTGGCGCAGGGTCCCTTTATTCTGGGTTGTTTTGTCCTGGATGTTAAAGGCAACAGAGACTCAGCGGTGTCGTGTTATCTTTTTTGCAAAAAATATGACGCTCGCCAGAAACCAGGTCGATGAAATTTGGATTTTACCATGAGAGGAACGGGCATGGATCTGCTGTGGAGGATCCTAGCAGCTCTCCGATTCGACTGCTTTAAAGATTCATCGTCGTCAAAGTGAGTGGAGAATGACCAGCCTGTATTTCACCTGCATTCCCGAATATTCCTAGAATATTCCTAGTGTGTGTCTGTGGCCATCAGTAATGCATTTAGTGAGCACCTGTCTTCCAATCTCCTGTGCATCTACCTGTTTTATTTATCTCTCATATTTGCTTGTATTTAAAGAAAAATCTCCACTGGTATATAATCCTTAATTGTGTAATCCTCACTGCAAAGGAACGCTCTGTAACTGAGGACAGATTCAATGTTTGCAACGACTAAATGTCAGCAGGTTGTGACAAATCGTGCAGAAATAGATTTATTTAAAGAGGAAATATCGTCCTTCACTTCACAGGATTCCTGAGTCATTATTTGCTCTCATTTTATCCAGCTTTGCCTAAACTGAAGGCCAGTTTGTGTTGCAGAGTTCACGTCCTCTAAGAAACGAGTGAATATGAAAACCCTTTACATCCATTTATAAGGTGTCCATTAACATCAGAGGAAGCCTGAGAACCATACAAGTCCATTTTAAGAACACTCCTTATTAACCGGCAGACAACATGAGGATGATTTGCCTTAATTACAGGTGTTCACTGTATTAATGCGCGCCAGTCGTCCAGGTCTGGTACAGAACATGTAGTCTCATCGTCAAGACCAATAAACAACCAGCAGACACACACCTCCACAATTACAATCGCTCAGCTCCACCCCGACCGAGAGCACTTCTTGTTTTACCAGTTATTTATTACCTGGAACAAATATTTGCACCGACATCAGATCTGTTTTTAGTGTGTGCGCACCGGAAAAGCCTGATCCCAGCCTGTCCCCATGTGCGCCAAGTAGCCTACAACATGCTGTCTCATGTTTTTACGAAGGTCTGGTAAAAAAGGTCTTTTATTTTAATAATCTGATTCATTTGAAGTAATTTTTTGAAACAACCATTTTTGTCAACCATTCTCTGGCTCCAGTGTCTCTCATGTGAGCATTTACTGCTTTTCTGTTTTAAACCAAAGTGAACAGATGTGGACAAAACGGGACATCTGAAGAAGTCACTTTGATGGACATTTGACACTATTTCCTCACACTTTACAGACCAAACGATGACTCGATAAATTAAGAAGGTAACTGGCAGGTTGATCAATAATGTCATAAGCCCCTAGTTTGGCTTGTTTGCTTTAGATTTCCAGCTAATCTGCTTTAAAAGAAGAGCAGCGTGGGTTAAAGTGATACTATAAAACAGTGTTGAAGCGATTAGTCGATTCATTTTGTTAACGTTTTAGCTAATGTTAGGAAAAATGAGAATTGATTATTTTTTCAATTATAAATTGAATATATTTAGTTTTTGGACTTTTTTTTTTTTTTTTTTATAGGCTGATCAATGAACTGATAAAAACCGCAAGCTAATAAAAAAAATATTCCTTTAAAGAATTGTGACCATGATGTGTACTGAGTGGGACATTTTTACAGTTAAATTAGACTTGTGCTCTCTTGTGGTCAAACTATATAATGGAGTCACTGTACATAAAATATACCAAACGTATCTTTGACATTTATTTTCTGTGCGTTCCCGTCGTTTATTGGCCGACATTTACACTGACATCAAATATCACAGTGGCCTTAACCTTTGACCTCCGGATTCTAATCGGTTCATCCTTGAACCCGAGTGGAGGTTGGTGCCAAATTTGAAGAAACTCCCTCAAGGCGTTCCTGAGATATTGTGTTAGTGAGAATGGGACGGACGGACAACCCAAACGCACACTCACGGCTGTCGCCAGCGAGGAAACTTAAAGATCTCAATCTGTCAGAGCCAATCGTGAGGTCTTTAAATGTCTCGTCCTGTCCAACCAACAGTCCAAAACTCATGTTTAGTTTCAAAATGATAGAAATCAGAGAAAAGCTTCTCACATTTGAGAAGCTGGAACCAGCCGGTGTTTGGCATTTTTCCATTTAAACAAACAAATGAAAACAATGACTGGATTATCAACATACTGAACCATTCATTGAGTCCATGTCGCTGCAGCTCTACACTGTGTGACTGTTTTGTCGCTCACATCCTGACTGCTTCCTTCCCTTTTTTGTCAGGTCTCCCACCAAGCAGAGCTCCAGCCAGGCCGGCAGCCTGGAGAGCAGCTCCCTGACCGGCTCCCTGTCGCTGGGCCCCGACCTGCCGCACTGCCAGGGCTGCATCACCTACGAGGCCCGCCTGAAGCGCCTCTCTTGCGGACACCTCTACTGCGACCCCTGCTGCGACCAGATCGTCAACCTGGCCTTCGAGGACATCGAGGGCCTGTCCGACTACCCCTGCCCCATGTGCAAGTCCATCCGGCAGCTGGGAGGCCTCGGCCCGTCCTCCTCCGGGTACTTCTACGGGCCCGATGGCATCCTGCAGCAGGAGCAGTGTACGGGGAAGGGGGGGTAAAGTTGAAGTTCTACCGTGGGAGAGATGTAGACTTTTGGTTTCTTCAGTTAGGACTCTGTTGCTTTTTAATGCGCTGCCACTGCCAAGAAAGCCATGAACCGTACGTTACTGTCTCTCTCACTCCGTCGTCGAACCATGTGAGAATGCGTGAGACTAACATCCATAAGTTTTAAAGTGCCAAAATGCATCTCAATACATGGAAAACTTGCTTGTCACACGAAATTTTGGTTCATTTTTCTTCCCAGAAACAGAAAAACATATCAGTCGTGTTTTGAATAGCATGCAGGTTTTCTGCCTTCTTCTGTATAAAAAAAACAAAAAACACTGAACACTGTTTTATTCTACTCAACATAATGTTGGAAACAGACCGAACCAGAGCTTCACATGAGCCAACTGTGCAGTAGCTGTTTTGTACATTCAAGTATTGAGCATTTTTGCACATGAATCCTCAGTTGTTTTGTGACTCAACATGTCATGCGAGGCGGTTGGATTTAAAATTTTAAATGTACAGTGCCATGCTGCTTTTTAAGTGTCCCAGATCATATGTAAATATTTATTTTGCTAAAAAATAAAGTTTGTGTGCTGTGAGAGAGAATGGGTTTCTCTTATTGTGGCACAGATTATGAACACAGACGAGTTTAATCAACTGATAACACTTTTTATTCATCAGGATCAAAACATGCTGATACAAAAAATATGTACATCTGGCAAATTTAAGTGGTGCTCGTACCAAAAACATTAAATTATACAACGATACAGACGGACGGGCGTAGCAGGAGATCAAATTCGATTTTCTATGCGACATGACAAACCTTCTTTTTGGGGTTTTTTTTTTCTCAATGTAAGACAAGCGAATGCATTGGCATCACACCTGGAAAGCTCTGAAATTGTAGCTGATATCAATGTGCCTTGATATTGATGTGATTAATATTTACAACAATTGAATAATTCATAGTGCTATCAAGTGAGGTACCTATTGACATGAGAGAAGGTCGGCTTCAGTCACACATTGACAATTGTTATCCTGCCGGAACTCAAATTTAGAAAAACACGATCCCTTCAGATACATAATTTCATCCGTCCGAGGGAATGGCGCCAGTGCATCTACTTGACACCCACACCATGCGAACGACAACCCGTTCATCTTTAAAGGCGCAGGACCAGCTCGCTCCCTCTGTGCTTTAAATACGGTCAGACACTTTCAAGTCCTTGACCTAAATGCTGGCTGCATACTAATACACCTTCGGGCAGGACTAAGAGAAAAACGGGAAGAAATGAGCTTCCCTTTGCTTCCAACACTGGTACCTTCTCAAGATACGGCAATCAAAAGGCAGAATAATATTTGTACTCCACAAACTGATGGTGAAATTATCAAAACAATACTAAATTTGGTAAACAATTCAGAAATCACACTTCTCTACATGTATGACATCAAAAGATTTGACCAATGGCCAAAAAAATACTTAAAGATGAAAGTTTAGATAAGATTATATAACTAAAGCCCTGAAATCATGTCAGTCATGCAATCGTATGCAGTGCCTTTAGCCACATCCAGGCCTCTCACTGCTCACAAGCATGCACGCAAGTGGGGAGATATGAGAGCAGGACCAAAATAGCTCTCATGCCCTAAATTCCACATTAAAGTCACTGGCCACAGCGCCTGCAGTTTAATATTTAATAATGATGCTTTTTCAAAAATGATTGTCCAAACGACGTTCTACTTTTCTATTTGAAGCTGTGATACAAAAACTGAATTGAAAGTGTTTTTTGCACATTTAACGTGACAAAGATCTAAAGAGATAGTTGTTTTAAAAAAAATGTAGTCACAAGTCACATCCAGTGAGGCAGATGTGTCCATTCACTGCCATGTGTCCTGTCAAAGCACCCTTAAGAACCACCTTATCACGCCACTATCTATATTTTGGATAAGAAGCTAAAAATGGAGACTACAAGCTGCCTGTCTGTCTTGAGCGGTGACATGGCGTTTTCAGAGGACGACAGTTTCTACTGCATTTTAAGATGCTGCAAGATGTGCTTCTAAAGTTCCGTTGTCATACATTGTTTAGCATCTTCAGCACTGATTCTTTTTGCCTTGGATATATTTCATTTATGGAATATTGAACTCTAAGGTACTCTTTCCAAATATACAGTACAGACGATGCGGAGCAGAGTTTTGAGAGCTCATGCACTGATTATTTCATACTGTTGCTTTTCACTGCGGGCCACCTAAAGGTTGTTTTTAATCACTTTATAGTCAATCAAATACTGTTTGTGAGGAAACGCACGCCTGGGTCTCCTCTGTACATGGTACCAGGGAGAGATAGGTCAGTTTCATATTGTGCAGGCAGGTGATTTGCTGATAGCACCGGGTCTTAAGGTGGAACGGTCTGTATCATATCTGAGAAGAGTTCAGACGAGGACCAGACCTCAGGACGCTATCGAGGACCCGTTGCTCTTAGGCAGCTTGGCGTTATTGGGTGCTGGGTAATAGCGCTGGTCAGGGCGGGCCTCTGCTACAGAAGGGTGCCCGAACAGAAACGTGTGCTTGTTGCCACCGCCATTGTCTTTGTGGCCGTGCCTGGATGGTGGAGCTGAGGCGGGCGGAGGGCCCCTGGAGGTGTGGTGGTTGGTGGAGGTAGGAGGGGGCGCCGCTCTGGGCGCCGCTCTGGGCACCGCCGTGCTCTGAGGCCGCGACGCCGGGAAGAGGAAGGTGCCGTTGTTGGTGTTTTGGTTCAGGTTGGTGTCGGTCCGCCGGGACTCGGCCGTCTTGGTGGGTGGGCTTGTATCCGTGCCGGTGGACACTTGTGCGAGCTCGTCTTTCAGCTGCTGCACCTCCCGGGCCAGCCGCTCCACAGGGTGGGGGTGGTTTGCTGAGATGGGGTGGGAGAACGCCTGAGGACGGAAAGCAACATGGTTGATTTCTCTTACGCCAGGTGCTCATCAACTTAACTTCTTCTTAATGCTCCCACCAGAGGGGTCTTACAAATTATCACTTAAAGTTGAGACAAAATTAAAAAAATGCCTTTTAGATCACCTCCCCAGTCATATTGTGCACCCATTTAACAATAAATGAATTTCCTAATATCTCGGGTTCTGAAAAGTGAAGCCAATGCATAAGTGTCTTAAAGCTGCATTCTCTCTAATGTCCACCAGGGGGCGACTCCTCTGGTTGTATAGAAGTCTATGAGAAAATGACTACTTCTCTCTTGATTTATTACCTCAGTAAACATTGTAAACATGAGTTTATGGTCTCTATCTCTAGTTGCAAGTCTTCTTCAAGACAGCATGATGTTCATTTAGTACATTATGGTCCATTTAGAGTCAAATAAACCATAAAGCAGTTTCCGTCTTAGAATTTTAACCCTTTCACAGTGTGTTTTCAGTTCATGAAAGTTAATTGTGACATTTTTGTCGCCTAAAAATGTCTTAGTACGTGTTCGGTTGTACCAAGTTCCACCCTCTGGAGTCTGGTTGCAAAAAGAAGAAGGAAAGGTACGGAAGTATTGAGAGATGAACTAACACATTGTTGCTTTTGTTGACAGCACCATTGTTGTAAAAACACAAAAAAGGCAAATGGCCCCATCTAGAGCCAGAAAAAGTGTTTTAGGGAGGTGTGTAGTATTTGTTTGTCGCTGTGAGTAAGTGGTTTTGTTGTGCTGAAATGCATTATACATGAGAGTTGTGAAGTGTCGTGTCAAGACGTTGATACTGTGACGAGGCAAGAACACTCCTGGCACTTTAATGGTGTGTGAAATTGTAGGGGAAACACTTCAATTACGCAGAAGGACAGAATTTAGTCTAATCTCTCTCCACTGTTCATATGAGTTAGTGGTTTTAGCAGTTTGACTTGTTCCTCTGCAGCAATGAATGACTGCATCTACCCACACGGCCGCGCAATGTTGCACAGACATCACAAAGGCTGTGCCGCCTCCGTATTAGGAGTTTGTCGATCAACAGCTCAAACTAATCTGCACATCAAAGAGACTCATCTCCTGAGCAAGACGTCATGATGTGAGAGGATGTGACACAGCAGATGTGTGCCTTCCGGACGTTTTGTGAGCCAAAATTTAATAAAAGAAAAATCATGAGGAGGATGTCGCCCACTTGATACGCAATGACACATTCGCACTTTGACACTCCACCCTGCAATATTTAAATTAGACAGACAGCGATTAGTGCTGCCTATCTGACGCAAATTTAAAAAATATACATTGGGCTTTAAATGCATGCCTGAAAAAAATCTACTTTCATTGTAATAAATCTCAAATAACCCTGAAATAATCAGCCCGAAACCCGAACATTTCCTGTCATTGCTGGGTTTTAGTTTCTTCAAGAGAATCTGTAGTTGGCATTTATATATAATCCTCCGAGGATGCCTTCGATGTATCTTTATTGACTGCATAAGCAACAGAGGGCATCTGGAAGTTCCTTATCATTTTAGACCACTAACTAACAAAGTCAGTAAACACTAATTATTTGGCGCCACGCTGACAGTTCCTGATTCACTTTCATTCTTATTTAAGTATTTCAAACCACCTATGGGACAATGCCATCGTACCTGTGCATGGAGCGCCCCCCGGAGGTAGCACTCCTTCCACAGGCCCATGCAGGGCCCCATGAGGAGCGGCAGTAAGGGCTCATAGGGGTCAAGTGGTCCTTGAGGTCCGGCGGTGGAAGTGAGGCCTTGAGGAAACTCAGCCAGGGCCCAGGCTTTCAGCAGCCTCTCCAGGCCGGGCACGTTCTCGGAGGACGCCGCCCTCCGGTGGCTCTTCTTGTAAACGCCTGAACTGCCGCTGCGCCAGGGAAGCAGGTTAGCGGGACAGGAGAAGATGCCTCGAGAGAGGAGGAAGACTGAGCCGGGGATGGTGTCAGTCAGCTGGTGGGCACATGTGGGAGGAAAAGTTACTGGGAGTCAAAATATAAAACAATTTAATTCTATAACTTTCACTCACAGTAACAAGCTAATGTGGGTCTCATCCATGAAGTGTAAAGTGAATGTACTGCAGCGTCCTGTAGGTATGCATTTAAAAACAATTACTTCTCTATTTCACTCTAACCGGAGAGAGCAATACATCTCAGAATTAGCTGATGGTCAGTTTAAATGGCGTAATGATCAGCCTCTTTCCAAGGAGTCAATTGGAATTGTATGCATGTTTTATGACTACCACAAGAGGGCGCAGTGGCCTGTTGCAAATACTATGTCCGCTCAGTAAAGTCAAGTTCATGAGTTTCATAGTTGTCAGATCGTTCACACGACACAAGGAGTCTTGGAGTCGTTGTGGTTTTCACCCTACATGACTCACTGGTGAGAGTGAGTCACACACACTTTAGGATCTTTCACCAGGAGGAAATGAGAATAGCTGGTCTCCAAACTACGTCTTGTCACAAAAACAAGCGCAGGAACTGGACAAAGGCATAGTCGTGCTTGTTGATGTTGTTGTTGGCACACATGTGCACAGAACGGCCTGTTTCCACACATCTTTACTATTTATAGCCTGCTTCCTTTTTGCAAGTTCCTACTATTACAGGTGACCCCTCCACTGGATTCCCCCTCAATACAACCTGACCTAAGTTATTACCTTTATTCATCAGTGAAGAATGTCTGTTTAAAACCATTTGTTTTCTAGCAATATCACAGTAAGCAGTAAAACAGTTTTCTGCCTTTGGATCCAAACAATCAAATGATCAACTTTAAGTCAAAAGATGCAAAGACATTAAAAATGAATGAAATGAAATAAAACAAATAAAAATGAGATGCTCTCTGGATTCAGCTCCCACCATGGCCACTAGAGGGTGTGTTGCATGAAGCAGTTACCCACCCTGTGAGTGTCTGTGTTGGTGTTGAGGTTGCCATTGAGCAGCGGTTGGAGAGGAGGGATCGGGGGGACGGGTTGGGTGAAGCGGTCTCGTCTGTGCTTGCTGTACTGCAGGGACCAGTCCCACACCGAGGGCAGAGGAGGGTCAGAGGGATCCGAGGAAGAGTCCATGTCTCTCCAGCCATTGACCGGTGTGTAGGACTGCCCGAGGTTCTGGGGAGAGTAGGATATGCATTTTGAATGTTTATGTTCATGACAACTCTTCTTTCTATGCAGCTTTGTGCACCAGTGTTCTCATATATTATGTTTTCTTCATGATAAAAAACAAAACAGGGAAATAAAACAGAGTATCACATAGATCTAGAAATATCTCTACAGCGTCTGCAGCAAATGATATTGTAATGACTTTAAAATAAATAAAGTGTCACTGCCTACACCGCTATTATAACGACGACACAATAGAGTTGCCAAAATACCAAAGCCCCTCTCAGGTGTCCAGTACCTGGGAGCGTTTGCATCTCTCTCGCTGGCAGTTGGCCAAGAAGCTGGAAAAGAGTGGCAGGTGGATGCTGTCGTGCAGGGCCAACAGGAAGTCATCTGTCAGCTGGAAGCGAGAGGGATACTGGGACAAGAGCTGCCAAACACAGTCCAGGAAGAGAAGGAAGACTGGAGCCTGCAGGGACAACAAAGAGTCTTCAGTTAAAAGGCGCTTCACAGGCGCAAATAAAAATACAAGACCATCAAAACAATCTGCACAGTTAAACTTGTGACACTGACAATCCAATGGGAGCTCTCACCTCCTCCTTGTCGTTGTCGCGGTGGTAGTTGATGCGGCTGTAGAAGCGGTGGCCGGCCATCACCCACTCCTTCTGCACCAGGCTCTGGAAACCGTGCTGGGTCCGACAGTGGGGGTCGCACATCACCTGCACCAGGCTGGACACCACGCAGCCCATGTCCCGGTCGTCCGCCTCTGTAACGAATAAAACACGGGGAGCACATACTGAAAGCTCTTCAAAACGTCTATGCTATTACCTGACAGTTATTTTACATCTATTTACCCTTTAATTTACAAACACCATTTAATTCTGCTCTTAATCTTCTTCAGGCTTATTCTGTTCCATAAAAGAGAGACGGAGCAATAGACAGAAAATGTCGATTGGACAGACCTGCAGATAAAAGTGATGACCATGAATGCAAAGACCAAAAACCCAGTGCCAAGCAGAACAAGAGAAAGAGGAAGAGGCATGTAGAGAGACCAAGTTTTCTTGGGCTGGTGTAGTGAGTCATTTCTGCAGAGGGATATTTACGGCTGATCCAGCCAGAGACTGATCGGCTGCATCAAGGAAACTTGGAGCACGACTGATATATGAAGCTAAACAGGCATCGTGATGGCCGGCCTTACAGCTGCAGAGTGGCAGAGAAAGCCAGCAGCAAGTTGTAAACATCCTCAGCTGAAAAAGGCCATTGTTTGAGTAAGCGGTGTCGGGTCTGTCTCTCTGGGTGTTTATGAATGCAGCACGGGAAACCAGACGATTAGAGATCAACAACAGCCTACTGTCTGTAAATGGAAATCTACTGAAACAATCCCCCTTCTTTTGTATTCTTTGTCCCTATTCCTTCACTGTGAGAGACATCTATAAGTGCATCTTGGATGGCAAACAAAAACGTCTCAGTAGCCTCAGCAATGACAATGTAAGGACTCAGAACGACAATACCACAATAAACCAGTCTGCAATAACTTGAGGGAGGTGAAAGTTGGAGACTTTGCAGACAGGAGCCCCAGCCTGACACTCTGAGGTCACCCTCACTGCACGTTTGGGTTTACCTGGTCTGACCAGTAGCTTTCCCCGTCACCTGATCCAGCTCACTGCCAGATGGAGATCAGTTGAAACCTCTACTCCACAACAAACAACAGCCGGCATCTTCCTTATCTCGACACACAGTCACATAGAGGGGGCCCTCTTCTTCTAAGGCGGACACTCCGACAAAGCTACATTCAGACGCGGGCTTGGGAGTATCCCCAGGCAAAGAAATGCAGCCCCTCTCCAGCAGTAAGGTGCGAGAGACAGTGGTGTGTGAAGATGAGCCACGCTTTATTTACAGTCGGTACCGCTCCACCTTCCACAGTAGCTACGTCTTCTTCCTGCTCTGGTACAGGGAGTTTTTGTTGCACATACGTGTGGGTTTATATTTAAGTTATTATTATCTCCGCCAGGAGGATTATGCGATCGGTCCGTGAGTGTGAACCTCTGTGTCTGTCCAGGACTATTCTCGCATTCTGCTGCAGCAAACTGCTGAATATTTAGGGCGCTCATATATGGCTGCATGCTGAAGTACCTCTTGTGGTTGTGGTGACTCAAATCTTTTATTGCCTATTTTATTATGCTATTGACTGAACGCTGACTCCTCACTCACTAGTCTTATGGGCCTTTCACACAGAACGCGGCAACGGCGCCACTGCGCTCTGAAACCCATTATTCCTAATGGCTGGGGCGGCACCACACATATTTCACACCAGGAGTCTATCTTGCCTTTTGAATGCAAACAGGACAGTTGCAGCCTGGTGCTACCGTGTTCTTCAGCACATGGAGGCCTATTGACAGTGTGCATGCGGGCTCAGCGGAGTGTGCTTGTCGGCGTCTTATAGCTACATCAGGGCAAGCCCTAAAGTGGGATTAATGAGAGGGAGGCACCGTGAATAATGAATGGATTGAATAATATGACCCGGGTTCTGGGTCATGTGACTCACCTTGCAGCGCCACAGTCAGGTGACCGCCACGGAGAAGGCAGGCAACCTCCGAAGCTTTCCTCAGACAGGCCCTGGGGAACAGAGGGGTTCATCTCAATACGTTTACAAACACAGCAATCGCATCACAAATAAGTTTTTGTTACATGACACGGATTGCCAGACTGGCCAATCAGAGCCGTTACCTGGTGTAGTCGAGCCAGTGGGTGCTTTCCAGGGTAGACAGCCATTTGTCATCAGGCACTGACACAGATGTGGAGATATCTGGAAGCCAAAACAGATCATGTCCAGACATTATGCATCACTACAAATGCATACAAGCCTTAAAAGGGCCCAGTGAGGGGATCCCTGCACTCCAGCTGAATTGACGGTTAAAACCAATCTAACATTAAGTTTTCCACACATGCAGAAAGACTGCCTTGATGAAAACGTGTCTTCTTCTCCGTCCATACTCGGATGAAGACATGCTGTTTGTTGGAACTTTACTTACTGCACATTATTAAAAGCTTTGATTATAAGCATATCTTACAGGCCTCAGAGTTTCTTTTCAAAATGCTGAATGCTCATTTAGCAAATTTAATGTCTGAATTCCCTTTTTGCCCGTTTATTAGAGTTTTACCCAGAGATCCAACTTTAAAAATAGTCAATTTAACAATGCAACACTGACCAGGGTCAACTCACATTTTAATACTTAATGCTGCAGTCTAGCTGTTACGAACTTAGAGCAGAATTTGTTATTTAAAAGATAAATTGGACAACTATTTCAATGGAAAAGCTACCTCCTCAAAATAAGTCATCCCCATCCTCAATGGGACCTTAAATGGAAAAATCTCAAACAGATTAGCCTTTAATTCAGTCCCCAAAGTCTATTTTCATTTTCTATCTAGTTGTTGTGAAAACCCAAAGTCCACTGCCAGCAAGCCGACCAAATACACGAGGACAATCCTCTGAGCTGTGAAGCACTCACCCACAAAAGACAAAACACTGAGCTGAACCGTGATAATCGGGAACCTTTACACTTTGTCCGTGTGCAAAAGAGAGAGTGTGTGTGTGTGTGTGTGTGCGTGTGTGGGAGACAGGTCAGCGTTTCAGTTCCAGGGCCAGTAGTTGTAGACGACCATGAGTTTTGTCATCTCTCTGTTTACTCAACCGTGGAATGTGCTGTGTGCGCCGACATGACAAAAACTAAAATAAAGGACATCTCGCAACACCTGTTTTGAGCTGCTGGTGTTGGAGTTTCAGACCCAAAACAACTCTGACAAACAGCGATGTAAATATAGATTTTTAAATGTACAAAGAAAGTAGGGATTTGGGGTAATGTAACACAACTCAACAAAATATATAACATGTGTCTAGTTGTTTTTAGGCAGACAAGACACATGTTATATCTTTAAGTGTATTTTTGTGTCAAGGACCCTTCAGACCACCTTCCTTACTTGATAGATGTCTATGTAACCAGTGAAAGACACTTCATTTGTCACAATTCACTATATGAAACATTGTTTTTCATGTTGTGCTTGAATACATATTTGCTCAGGTGTTGTGTGCGTGTTCATGTCTCATGCCCACCTCCCAGACAGAGGGCGCGCAGGCGGCTGTGAGCCAACTGGATGTCTGCAGGTGAGGGCAGCTCCTCGCCCAGCTCCACCACCACACACAGAGACGACTGGCAACCAAACAGGATCATCTCCAGGTTTCTACAGAACACAAGTAGTTGGTTTAAATGTTACATCAGCCGTAAAAACTCATTAATGCAAGTTGAGTCTGCTATTCAGACGTCATGCTGCGTTGTGTTGCTTTTAACCTGACGTCTCAAGCTTCTTTAACAGCTCGCCGTATTTCGGCTGTGGCCAGCGGATATTTTAGTGAGGACTATTTCAGCAGTTTGGTTTCCTGTGTTTAGGTAACTAACAAACACAACACTGCATCTGGTTAGTTTTACTGTACCACTGCTTTGCCTTGTGAGAGTTACAGCCTGCAGTCAAGACTACAGCTAAGTCGTCTTTGAACACATTCAAATGCCTACACTGACACACGCACTGACAATGTATTTTGGAAAACAACAAACCTGATGTCGTCCTTCTCGTGGTAGATGTTGTTCTGGAAGCTGGCCATTCGCAGCAGATCACTGCCTCGAGGGTGTCGCCAACACCAGCGCTGCGACACAAAACACAATCTCACGTTCCACATTGTTGAAACTCCCTGAAGGCACTCACTGCATCGGGGTTCATCTGGTCATTTGTCTCACAGGAATGTTAATAGGAAAGGAAAAGATATCTAAAAGATGACAGCATAGTTATTTTGGGTTATGAAGTTACAAATACAGGAATTACACATGCGGTCTGGAGTCCAGGACTGTTCGAATAATATATTTAATATGTAGAAAATGTATACAAATAAAGTGTTTTCACAGGATTGAGGCTCTTAACACATGAATTTAAAACAAAATATTAATTGTGCTTAGGTAAGCTAAAACAAACCAGTTTCAACCAATAATATCTGTCATCCACCCATCAATCAATCTGCAGCTTCTACTGACAACAGAGACGTGTGTGTGTGTGTGTGTGTGTGTGTGTGTGTGGAGCAACAGTCCTCTGAAGCTCCATCTTAAATCAAATGCAAGGGATTGTATTTAAATCTCTCTTGTGACTGTACACCGCTCACATATTCCGTTCCACTGGGGAACAGTCACAGTCGAGGAGATAAAAACATTAACTTTCTGTTTCACTGGGTCTGTAATGAACCCATCTGAAACAAGCGGTGGTACGTGAAGTAGCAGTTGAATCAGAACATTTCTCAACACTAAGTGCACTCACAGGGATGCGTCCTTCGTTGAAGTGGGCGAAGCTTTTCTTCAGCTCAGTGTCCAAAACCTTCTGTGGAACAGCGATGGATCTCGACAGGCTGACAGGAAACGGAGAAGAATGCACCGTTTTGGATGGATGAGGTTTTTATGTACTCAAAGCACCAAAAAGCTCCGACCTTTGACCTAACCAAGCGGTTTATAGGAGCTTAGACTTGACTCTGCCTCATATCTGGGAAACGGATATACCATAATGGTAATTTAAACGTACCAGACACAAAGATGTGTGGTTACTTTTTACCTGGTGGACATCTCGAAGCGGTCGTTGACTGAGCTGACTCTCCAGCCAGTGGCCCCGCATCTCTCCAGCTCTTGCTCCCAGTCCGAGTCAGACTCAAACCAGTTCATGTGGGTGTTTCGTCGACGGTTGCTTAGAAACTGCTTCATTTCTGGAAGAAAAAATAGTTACATCTCAATATCACACAATATCTTGTGTCAATTTATACAAACACAACATATCCGTTTTGTGGAAAAACAGGCTTTCAAATCTTTCCTAAAGAGAGGGATGGGGGACGGCAATTCAGCAAAATGAGCCCAGATGTGGTACAGAGCTGCTGCAGTGGACTGACCAGAGAGTAACTCATAGTACCGTTGTGCTTCATGAGAAGGGCCGATTCATTCAGATATTTCTGTTTCCAGCTTCTCCAACGTGAGGATTAGCTAATTATTTCTGTTTTATATCATCGTTAACTGGATTTATTTGGGTTTTGTACAGTTGGTTGGGAAAAACAAGCAATCTAAAGATGTGACATTGGACTTTGGGAGCTTGTTAAGGGCATTGTTCCCTATTTTGATTTGACGATTGATCGTTAAATTGAAGAAATAATTGTCAGTCCTTAATTTATTTTGGGGTGTTATTTTGCTGTCCCTATTTTTTACATGTTAATAAAGTTGTTGATGTTGATGGCAACAAAAGGCCAAGAATTTGTTGCCAATTTCTCGAAATGGTTGCCAATGGTGGATCAGAGAGTAACTAATAAAGCGCTAGCCTTGTGTTTCATGAGAAGAGCTGATTAATTGTTGAGGTCAGTTTTGGGAAATATTTCAGTTTCCAGCTTCAGTTGTCACACGCAGCGTTGTCTTTATTTATTTTGGGCTGCACATTGTGCCCTTTGCTGTCACTATGCTGCACCAGATGGCAGCCAAAGGCCCAGAATTGGTTGGCAATTTGTCAAAGCGTTACTGTCGCGCCCTGAGATGTATTGATGGAGAATGACAGAATAATAAGAAAATCTTACAAACTTGTGTCTTAGTGCCACTGCATTGAATATATTTAATGTCAATAACTGACTGTGACAATCACATCCGAGGCTGTGATTGAATCTTTTAGAAAATGGAAAATGTTAAAGTCACGTCTTAAACGCACTGAGCACCACACTGGACACACTTGACCCCTGGGGCAGAGTTTAACTGTGGGTCATCTAGCGGCTTGTTTCAGAGGGGGGGGGGGGGCTGCATTATTTATCCAACTGCTGACAGTCTTCCACAGCTTTGTCAGCCTGGCGTGACTTTAACATAGCATAATGTATTGTACAGACGGGCTCATATTACTCTATATGGTCGAGGTGAACAGCCAGTGGCTTAGTAACAACTGGGCATCATCATTTTGTTTTATTAGTGAGATGTAAAGTGTGTATGATTTGCTGACACACTGAGTTGGTTTCCTTCGCTCTGATAGCACAATATTACATTTAATTACTGTGGTTTAATCTTTTATAAACTGAGGCTTTCAATCACTGTCAGAATCAGCCACACGAACATTTTATCGCGCCTCGCTTTTCAAACCACTCAGCGATTTCCTCACATCTGGGCACGGTTTCAAAGACAGCATTTTCCTTGAATCACATCAGAGAAGAACGTTTCTAATTTTGCCAACCGTCATTCTGGTCTGCACAGAAACCGTCATGTTTCCTGTTTAATATTCGCTCCAGTCTTAAGTTGTACCATCTTGTCCTGATGGTGAAGTGGACATGGACAGAAACAAAAATAGATGGAACTGAGTTGAAGCCTTGTGTAAATGACGAGCAGTGTTTTTTGGGTACATTCTGTTCCCTGGAGCGAGAGAGCGGGTGAAAACCAAAGTGAGAACAGACTTGACGAAAGTCTCATCGGGAGAAAACATCATTGACTGACACATTCATGCTGCATTTCTCACTTTCACAGAGCTGTTATTTCTATGAATATTCATCACGGTGAAATATGCACAGACGAAAATGAATGACAGATTTACTGATAAATACTTTTGATCATTTTCGTGTCATAAGCATCCAAACAGACACACGCGTAAGGCTATAGTGCCTGCAACAGTATTTTATTTCCCACGTATCTCTGCAGGAGGTCAAGACTATTTGTTCTAAGTCATATCATAATCAATATTGTGAGTCTAGTAAAACAAAGCAAAAGGATGAAAACCCCAAAAACATGTGAGCTATATTGAAGTACCCCTCTATGTCCTTGATGACTCAACACAGCTGCCGGATGATAGACAGAGTGATGAGCTATTGTACCGGTGCCAGGGAGAGTGCCTGGCTGTAGATGAGGCTGAATGCATTAATCTACTCACCTACACTCCCCAGGGCAGCGTTCTGGAAAGATAAAACGGACCCTGGTTTAAGAGGCTGGTAGGTCTTGGCGATGGTGTAGGTTGTCTGAGGAGGGAAACCACAGTGAGCCCATCAACATGACAAAGGTCATCAGCTGTCAACATCGATGCCCCGCAGAGTCGGATTAACGGCGTGTGGTACAGATCACCTTCTCCGGGCAGAAGTCTTTAGGCTCTGAAGTAACTGCTGAACGGTAAGACAGTAACCAGAGCCTCGAGTATTAGCCAATACACATACACCCCGAAAGATGCAGGCACATGCAAATATTTACCAACCCTGGTGCACACATCTCTAGGAGAAGAATTTGGAAAGTGCGTATAAGGAGGAAGAAAACAGGGAACAGTGAAACACACAGATAATTGACTTGTTTCAAAAGAAGAACATGTATTTTAAAGTCTGGGAAAAACATCAGTGGTTGTCTGCAAATCCCTGTTTCTGGACTGGGCACACAGAAGTTCAGTGTTTAAGCCGGTGGAAGCTTAAAATGAGAAGATTAAACTCCTTAAATCAGAGGACGGACACTCACCTCAATGACTTGTGCGTCAGGAGTGAGGCGGTCGAACAGGAAGCAGATGACTTGCAGGTCCTTGCAGTACAGCACCAGCTCCTCTGGAGTGAACTTCAGGGATGAGTTTGGGGTCACCAGCTTGGTCCTGTTGGGGCCCACTGCAACACGGGGGGGGAGATAAATGTGTCAAGAGTAAAAAAAAAAAAAAAAAAACCTGGAGTACACGCTAAATATAGTACACAGTATGTGTACTATACTGAAAATAACTTCACAAGGGAGCCAAAAACCTGCACATTATTTAAATATCTCACTTTGCATAATTACATTTTAGTAATGATGGGGAAGTGTCCTTATTACATGCGAGTTTCTTCTTATCTTCATTATAAGTAACATAAGTACTGATTAATACAATCTGATAGTCGTTAGCTGTGGCATTAACAGTATCACAGCAGAAGGCATGATATACAGTATACTGCTCTGTGATTGGACAAGTCAATATATCAATATGTCGTTGCAACGTATCCCCAGCAGTCTTTCTGGTCAGGAGTAAACATGTGGGCATACATTGAGGTTTTACTTACCAACCACAACCTTCTCTATGGACGCCAAGGCCACATCATGATCTCCTAAAAGCACTGGATCTGCATTGTCCTGCAACATGAAGGTTATTTAAATATAAATATGTACTGTAACAAATAAAAAAAACAGACAATAACAACACATTATTACACCATAATAGACTATGAGTAAGAGTATTTAATCAGCACAGAAGGACTCACGTCAGGTTTGGGACTGTCCTGGGGCACAAAGGCCACTCTGAAGTGGGTACACAAGAGGGTCCCAGACACCCAACCCCTTCCTTCCCTGGCAGTCAGCTTCTTCCTCACCATAACAGCTCGCTGCAGCACGCACTCGCCTAGTGGGGGGGGGGGGACACAAGGGAGATGGAATGCAGAGGTTACAGGATGGAACGTATGGGTAGTGTAGTTTTGTACACGTCAGATGCAATTACATAACTGAGTGTGTATAGGGGGGGGGGGGGGGGGCGCTCTTCAGAGGATACATAACAGGAAGTGAACGGAGAAACAAACAGCAGCGTGGACGTTCACTGAGGGAGCTACTGGGAGTGGGTGTGACAAATACCTTCAAACGAAAAGGTCAAGCTGCTGCGTATTGTTGCAAGTCCTCAGGCCACAGAGGATGAACCGGGAGGAGCAAGAAGAGCAGCTAAAACGCAGACTTAGATGACAGTGACTCCGTCTGAGTTACACTACACTAGTTTGTTTGCTGGTAAATACTAGCAAATGTACATATGAGTGAACAAGCAGATCTAAGTGAGGTACACCAGATGTCCCCCAAAGACGCCTGAATGGCTAATTTTAGCTACAAGAAGTTATTGTAAGTATAAAGTCAAGAATTATTATAAAACCGCATGGCATAAGAAATAAAAGTCAGTGGATAATTTGTGAAAATGTTTAATAATTGGGTAATTGGTATAAGGAAAGGCCAATGAGGGTTGATGACTCAGAAGACGAGCATCATCCATAGGCTTCTTTAAATGAAAGTTTAAATCTCTAAAATAAACATCTAGATTTTGAGAAATGTCTACCCATGCACAAATATATTTTTCAGTTTTAATAATTTGATATGTTGAAATATGTACTTGAGCAGAACATTGAGCGATGGAACCACATTCCTAAGTGGAGAGGAAGGTTGAAGAAGCAATCTGAAATTCCAGAACAAAAGCCTCCAAAAACAAACTTTTCACCCAGAGAACTCTCTTACAAACAAACACAGATGTGAACAAACACTTTCAAAGGGGATAAAAAGGAAAAACACACACACAGCGGTGAGACAGCACACTTCAAACGGTTTCCTGCAGGAATACAAAGCCTTTGCCAGCTAGACTGTGCGTTTCCTATGGCAACAGAGTCCAGGTTAGGGTAGCGAGGAGAAAACTGCCTTTCTGTCCACGACAAGAGGAGTGTTTGGCCAGACACATGGCAAGGCAAATGTTTTCATATTGGCTCAAAAGACCATGAAATAGACGAGGAGAGACTGCCGGTCCTTCGAAACTGAAAAAAACATTCCGAGGGAAACACAAAATTCCTTCGCTGCACATGTGGAAGGAACTAGCTCGGTTCTTAAAACTGAACGGGACAGATTAGCAGTTGGGCTACTTAGCTAACAGAATGTTTTACAGAAAAACATGAAACACTTGTTTATGCTGTGAGAGGAAGAGGAAGAGGAGCCTTTATTTCACATCATCATTTGCCAATTGCACAAGAGGAGTTTAAATCTCAGGGCGTGCTCTATGATTATGCTTATTCCCTTTAGTCTCCAAACCACACATGAAAACCCCGGGCAGGATTCATCAATTAAATCCGACCGCACGTGATCTAGCGACAGAGATTTGAGATGCTCGGTGTCACAGGGAACACAAGTGAACCCTTGTTGCCTTTCAAAAAGGACAATCTGTGGCTTTCTCCGTGCCTCGTTTTAATGTCTCCCCAGGGTGCAATGGAGCCGAAAACATTCCTGTAGCGTGCAGATCTGAGAGCTGGGGGGGGGGGCGAAGACAGGGAGCAGAGGCTTCTGGGCCTGTTTGCACTCTTTGGTGAGATTTAAGCAGTTTGTGTTAGCAGGTGGTTCAACCCAGAATGAGTCAGCCGTAAAAGTGAAGGTGTTTTACGAGACTGTTGTCCTTTATTCATATAAAACATTTTATGTGCTTCCTGGAGAGCTACAGACGGAGTGCAACAGTGTATGCTCTACTAACGCAGGAGCTTCTTTAACCTCTCATCCTTGAGGAAGCCGAATGGAGGAAATCAATTCAATTTAAATACTGAGAACGTGTTTGGGTCCGTTTGAAATCGCAGACTAACAGACTATTCATACTAAGTATGACGTAAAAATTGATATTTAGTGCGTTCCGACTGCATTTCTTATGGATTTTGTGTACGCCAGAAACCCCCAGATGTAGACTAGATGAGACTTGAGCTTAATGGACATATTCAACCGCCCCAAAATGTATTTCCGCGGCTCTTAAGACGAACCGATGGCGGACTGCAAGGCAGAGGGTTTAAATTATTAATCGTTGGATGAAATTCAGAATATGGGAAGTAACGTTAAGGCACAGTTTAAAGGTAAACACATTTATAATGAACTGTAGAAAATATATCTTACACTAAATGTTGCTTGAGAATACTTCCGAATGAACAGTCTGCTGCCTGGCATACTTAATCGTTCATTTAGTAGGGAGTATGCAGATTAAGTATGCAGACTGCAGTATGTATGTAGTTAAACATTAATATGCCAATACGAACACAGTCCAAGACGAGAACTCGTCAGGAATGTGTTAAAGAAAGTATTTAAAAAGTGTTTGCATTCCTTACATGCTAAAGGATGTTTTTTTTCCACATTAAAGTTTAAATTTGAGTGTCCCCTTTAATGGTCCAGCTGCTTCTGTTGATGTTGTGGTCACTGATGAGGAGAGAGCGACCTGAAGAACCCGCCTGAGCAAATACAGCTGAGAGGGATTAGAAACCACATGCTCTCAGTTTTATTTGTTTTCATCCACATTTGTTCCTCGTCTTCAGCGGGCATGCACGCAGAGCGAAAAAGGTTTTGGCCCTCCTCGACCCACTGGGAGGACGAGGAAAGACCGGGATTGGGTCACGTTGGGTTGAATCTAGGAATACAGGTGTTTCGGCAAACTAGCAGCTGATGAAGTTAATGTCACAACAATGAGAAAAGTCCAGCCTAGAGTCTTCCTCATATTTAACACAACACAAAATGTCCAGAAGACTCCGTTGACGAACTATAGCACAGACAACCCAGAACTACCAACCTCCACGTGACGCTACGTCCACCAACAGTGACAGCATATTCTAAATGACGACGAGAAGTTGGGTCAGCTCGTCATGTAATAGGTTGACCAACCAGATGTATGTATGAACATTAAAACAACAATATGTCTCCAGACATATTGATAATTAGAAATATAAAGTCCCCCAAAATAATCTATTTTGTAATAAACTGGAACACATCCAGTCAAAGTCATCCCACTAAAGAGCATTTAATACTTTTTCAGATTTAAAGATGGAAACCCCAGTACACAAATATGGACGCTCCGGTCTCATGTCCATCAATCAACGAGGCATAACGCTGATTGACAGCCCTTTAATCCCACAGTAACATGAGACTGTGGAGAAAGGGGATTGTGAAGTTGCTCTGAAGGGGGTCCTGGACTCTTGGCATTGTGTGTGAATGGACAGTATACCCCCTCCCCCACTCGCAGCATTGAAAAGGTACATGATCTACCTATGGCTGCCGGAGCTGTGCTGACCCGCTTGCCCTCCTGCAGGCCGGCTCGGTTTCTGCGGTCCTGTGTCCCGGTGTCACATGAGAGCACGCTGGACACCGAGCACTGCCCGTTAACTACTGGGACAACGGGACCACTTCTGCAGACATATCTCTGATTTTGAGATTACTGCGGTTGTTCTCAACTTGTCAGTGGATCGAGCTTGAGACAGGTTCCTGTTATTTTACAGCCCTCCCGAATTTACCGTACCATGCAACAAAAGCACCACTGTGTTGATATTGATATGAACTCCCCCCTCTCCCAAAAAAGCATTTTTTTACGCAGCGTGGACAGATGATCATCCTTCTGCAGAGTACGTGCATGAAAGAGAAAAGGGAGGAAGAGAGAGCGTCCACAGGTGCAATGTGAGCCCTTCCACTCGGTGGGGTAACACTGACTCCCGACTCCTTTGTGTCTCAAAGTGAACTTGTTCTCACAATTTGTCTCAACACTTACTCCGCAGAAACTGCACAGAGCCAAGGGATAGAATTCCCCGCCGGAAATCTGAATCGGTTTACAAAAATAAGTTTAGCTCCTCTGTCTCAATGGAAAAAGAGAAGAATAAAAGAAGAGACTTAACAATGCTGCCAACACACGTTTCTTCTTCCCTCGCTCTTAAATATAAAGCAGGTTGTCACGGACAGCTGTGTTTCTAATCTGCCTGGAATGGAGGTGGAGAGAGAGAGAGAGAGAGAGAGAGAGAGAGAGAGAGAGAGAGAGAGAACAGCAGGGTGCTGTTGGAGATGAAGTTGAAAGCCAGCAGGAGGAAAATGTGAAGTAAAGTGAGTCAACATTTCACAGTGAAATGTTAACAGCTAAGAATAGGATCTCTCTCTCTCTGTGTGTGTGTGTGTGTGTGTGTGTGTGTGTGTGTGTGTGTGTGTGTGTGTGTGTGTGTGTGTGTGTGTGTGTGTGTGTGTGTGTGTGTGTGTGTGTGTGCGCGCGCATTGTCAAGGATCAGCTGAGTCTGGAAAGCATTTGATCATAACACACTGCTGGAAAACAAATTAAGCCGAGTACGTGAATAAAAATAAGGAAGGAAGCGTGTGTGTTTGTATGGAATATGTGTGAATGCATGAGTGAGTGTTTGTGTATAACTGTGTTTGTGTGTATGTGTGAAAGGTCACAAGATCCTTTTCCGACAAAAAACTAAGAGAAAAAAACATAAAATGAAATATGAAGTATGAGTGGACAAAAGAAGAAGATGTGTGACTAAAGAGATATCAGTCATAAGGTGACGTGCTGAGGCCCACCTCACAAACGCCCATCCAACACACCCACACACTCATTTACATCGGCTCTGGTGTGTCGTGAGTAACTGCTGATACGCAGCGTTAAAGATTAGCCCGTCTCAGATCCAGCCCCTCTGGTCTGCTGCCATTCTTATAAAAAGCTCCAGCTGGGTGTTGCTGACACAGGAATATGAGCAAGGCAGGGCGGGCGAAACAACTTAGACTGCAGCAGCAAAGATTCCCTGTGGCCCTGCACCAACCAGCAGATCATCACTTGGGTTAAGAGGGTCCACCTCTGGCTAAACTGTCTGGATCACTACTGCAGAGGGTGGTTATAGTTGGGGGGGCGGGAGTAGAGAGTGATTTCAGGGTGATCAGGATATCGCTTTGCTAAGCCCGCCCCCCTGCTGCCACTCCACAAGCTGTCAGAGCCACCATGGAGCCCACACTGTCACTAACTGCACTCCCTGAATAAGTAGTAGAAAAACTGAAAAAATGATTTCAGAGAGAAGCAGACAGAAGGGTTTCCACTGAAGGATGTATTCTGGATATTAAACTGATTCAGCAGCAAAAACAGGATAAAAAGATGAAGATAGCAGCTAAAGCATACAGATCACTGCAATAAAGCTACAAGACTTTTTGATCTTAGCCACACACTAACCCCCTCTTTGTATGTTCAGATTAGCTTTTCATTAGCAGATGTTTTCCCATCTCAAAAGGCAAAGCCTGTGACATTCCTGGTCCAGGTGTGGCTACGAGTGCAATACAGAGATTTCAAACCTCAGAGAACAATGAATGCTGCAGCAGTTTTCTGCCTCAATAACACGGAGTGTTGATATTTCATCTGATCCCAGAGCAGCGTGGCAGGTGTCAATTGAAGTTTGTGCTGCGTTGTAATATTTAGTACCTTCTATTTCTTGTGTCTGACTAGCTGCAATGGTCATTTGCAAACTCTTTATTGTTACAGTAGCTTGAATTTGAATCGGTCCAAGACGGGTCTCAGAAGCAGAAGTTTAGGAAGTACACAGTAGTACGTTTAAAAGCACAATCCTACCTGGTAGGCAGCGTAGCCCAAACACATCTCGACTCCTTGCGTGGACGCCACTTTGACTCAGCATCCTCTCCTGTAAGAGAAACAGCAGACATTAGCATGGTTTAAAGAAACTGCCTTTATTTTACATATCACTGTCGACAATAGATGCCCTGTGCTTAAAGCAATAGTTCGACATCTTGGGAACTTGCTTTATTTCCTTTCTTGTCCTGAGTAAGTTTAAATTGTTTCGTCAAGGGATAAACAGAACGCACTCAACGCATGGAGAGCACCATATGTCATCTTTGGTCTTGTTGATTGGATTTAAGTCATGGCTCTGGCTGCCTCTCTCATCAAAGTCTGGCTGGTCTCAATGGACTCACTTTCATTTCTTTCAGACAAAGAAAGAAAGCCAACCACACAATGCTCCAAGATTCTCATTTTCCATTTTGCTGATTGTTCCCCCTTTCTATAATAGTCACGGAGCCTCAGAAGCCAAAATCCAGCCCCGCAGTCACAGCCACAGAGGTTTCTATACTCGGACCGCAGCTCACGAGCACATATGCTTCCAATTAACTTCGCTACTACCACCCCCACCCCCCCCTTGTGAGGGCCATTTACATTTATCGGCTTCAAATCCCATAATACGCCAAGGCCTGCAGCGTGAGCTGTGATTATACAGGTGGTGAACACGCTCGTGCAGAAATAGAGTGAGGGCCCCCAAGCTGACATCCCAGGAAACTATACATTGTGGAGCCTCAAACGTCTCCCTCAGCAATTCTTTCTTGAGTTCCGCCCACAGTGAAACTATTAATCATCGTTTCGTTCACAGCTCCATCTCAGAGCACCGGTATTTCTGCGAGTCAGCAAGGACGCGCGTGAACAATAACAATGAATCCACTCAGTCGCCGATGTGCCAACAGGTTTGCAGGACGGTGAGTTCTGTGTTAGCAGCCTGAAAACCTGAGACTCTAAGCTTGTGCCCCCCCCCAAATAAAAAAAAAACATCAAACAAAGAGAACCTTTGCTCTTTGAAAAGCTAGTAAATCACACTAATTCATAGCTGGCTGTGTTCTTTGTAAGTGAGAGCGCCGGTTCTTCAGTTTGCTTCTGATGGTGTTGTGATGTGATGTTATCTTGAAGTTTTGCAATATGAAGCAAATGTTTTCATGCGTATGCTCTAAACTGTTAACTAACCATATATGTTTTCCACATTGTTTTCTAAAATAAAAATGTATATTAGACTACTTTGTAAACTGTAAAAGAAAACCATACCTATTTTGCTAACGTCATCATGCTCTGTATTGTGCTCTAAAACGGTTCTATACTGCCAAACTAAACATCTGTAATAAAACTACAAGTATTATCCAATAGCTTGGAGTTCACCCTGACATAAAATATGGCTGTAGTTCCAACCGTTTCACTGAGCAAATTAAAAGCTGTTCCTGAAAAACCGCTGGAGAAAAACAAGCCATTTTTGATTATACAGCAGGACACTAATATTTTACAAGACTTACTTTCTGCTTGCCAGGGCATTGTTCATTTATTTTCCATCTGGCCTTAAAATGTTTTATGCTTTCCCCTCAGTCTCTCCATCAACAGCCACAGCAAACCCACGGCTGAATTCCTCACCCCGTTTTTAAGAACATCACTATTCAGACGTGTTTTGTGTCTTAGGTCTGTCCTCTGAAGGTTGTCAAGACTGGCAGACGTTGGGCCTCAAGGTTTTGTGAGGCGAGCGAACTCGCTAGATAACAAGCCGCAATACACAAGGTGAAAGACTGCTGGCACTGCGCTGCAGACTGGGCTATGTACATAATGTGATAAGGGGGAGGTGAGTGGAGCTCCCTCGGTTAAACGAGCATAAAAATTGATTTGCAAACAGAACAGCAAATGCATATTTATGTGAAATACAGGCATTCTTCTTCACAACGGAGGTAAAACGGGCAACAAAGATAAGGAGAATGGGAATGAGATGTCTAAGCATGAGTTTGCTGTGAAGCTAAAGTAAGGCCTTCATCTATGAGTCACGTATCACTCAAAAACCACATTTCCAGAGCCGTGTTTAGGCTGACATTTCACTTTCGCTGTAATTGTGTGGCTTCAGCGTCCCCACTCTATCACTTCCATTGCCTCTCTCTCTATCACTTCCATTGCCTCTC